CCTCTGAATCTGAGCACACTTATTTATTAAATTATTATTGGGGTTGCTAATTCAAATTATGTCCTGCCCCGATTTTCAGGGACCCCTGTACGTCGATGAAACATGGGATATTGTTTTCTTTTGCATTTCTATCCTTCTTCTCTTCCTTCCTAGTACCGATCTCTTCCCACTTATGACTATAACCATGTTGTATCTTTCAATTTATATTGTTTGTTTCCTAGTATGATTTGATTGCTTATTAGTAACACATGACTATCACTAAGTGTTGCATCTTATGATTCTGGATAAATGCATTTTATTTTTATTTTTGTACACCAAAGACAAATTCCTTGTGTGTCCAATCACACTTGGCCAATAAAGTATTCTATTCTATTCTATTCTATTCTATTCTATTCTATTCTATTCTTTTAATGTTGTACACCGCCGTGAGTCCTTGGGAGAAGGGAGGCATATAAATCTAATAAACCTAAACCTATTCTATTCTATTCTATTCTAATAACTTCCGTCAGTTCTTCCATTTGTTGTTCCAAGAATCAGGTGCTCAGCCAATACCTAAAGAATTTTTATCTGAAGAAACAAGACTATTTATATCTATCTATGAAACTATCTGAAAAAAATGAGAAATTGAGAAGTACAGACATTGCTGACAAAACAGAACTATCGTATTTTTCAGACTATAAGATGCACCGGTGTATAAGGCGCACCAAGATTTCAAAGAGGTAAGTCAGGAAAAAAAGGTTTTGCCTTCCCCCACCCCTCAGAAGCACTCTGCAGGCTTCAGCAGGGCTCGGGGAAGGCAAAAATAACCCGGTTTTTCACCACAATGGGGGCATTTTTCCCTTCCCTCAGCCTGCAGAGTGCTTCTGGGGGGTGGGGGAAGGCAAAAACGCCCTTTTTGCGAAAAATGTCCCGTTTTTCACAAAAATGGGATGCGGGGTGAGGCTTTGGGAGGCCAAAAATGGCTGTATTCGGTGTATAAGACGCACCAACATTTCCACACTCTTTTAGGGAGGAATAAGGTACGTCTTATACTCCGAAAAATACAGTAAACTACCCAAAATACAATACATTTCTCCCTGCTGAAGTATGGACAGTCCTCGACTTACAACCGTTCGTTTAGTGACCGTTTGAAGTTACTGAAAAAGAGACACGATCTTTTATCACACTTACGACTATTGCGGCATCCCTGGGGTCATGTGATCAAAATTCAGACACTTGGCAACTGACTCACACGTGATTCCCTTGTGCAACTTTCTAATAACTGTATTATTAAATTAAACTGCAGTGATTCAGGTAACAAACGTGATAAGGAAGGCCACAAAAGGGGGCAAAATGTCTTGCTTAGCAGTAGAAATGTTGGGCTCCATTGTGGTCATAAATCAAGGACTACCCTTGCGGCGCTCAGCCCAGTCTTCCATTCTGTCCAGTTTGCGTTGCAATGTGGTTTTGACGACCCTGGGACTCTGGGCCAATTTTTTTTTCTCTCCTATTGTCTGTTTTCTGACCTTTCTACAAAGGAAGTATTTACTTTTTCCTCCCTTGTTTGCTGAGGGTGAGAAAAATCATAAAGAGCTTTTTGCTAATCCAAGTCAATTTTGCTAAGTCATCCCGACCACTTTGCAAGAACTCTAAGAAGTTTTTTTGGTTTTTTTAAGGGTTGCAACTTTGCAGAATTTTTATTAATCTTTCTTTGGCTAAATTCGTCCTTTTTTTCTTTTTGTTTTTTGATGACTTTTAGATTTATAAATGCTTCCACCAATTTATACCTGAAGCCGTTAAGTCTGTAATGTTAGCGTTCCTCTTGAAACCCACCGTTACGATATTATATCAGCTATTTTCCAAACTTTGGGTACCATAGAGCAGGGGGTGTCCGACTCGATTTCATTGAGGGCCGCGTCAGGGTTGCATTCCACCTTTGAGGGCTGGGGGCGTGGCCATCGTGGGCGTGACACAGGATTGTGTCAGGGCGGGGTGGGGCACCTGTGGTCGCCAAGTGCTAAGGCAGGACTTCCCTCCCTCATTCTCATTACATAATCTCCTTCCTTCCCTTTTTCTTCTTTTTCCTTCCCCCTTCATTCTAAATTCTTCTTCCTTCCCCTCTTTCCTTATTTTTCCTTCCTTGCTCTCTTCCCGTCTTTTCTTCTTTTTCTTTGTCTTTCCTCTTTTTCCTTTCTCCTTTACTGACCCACATCGCATTTTGGCTGCTAGAGGGCTGCAGAAGACCCTCCAGGCCCAAAACAGGCTAGGTCCCTTCCAATTCTGCTATTGTATTGCATTGTAATTGGTTTCCTTGGATTGCTTCTATTGATATTTACGGCAATAGATATGAAAATGGAGAGATTTATAATGGAATAACAAGAGTTGGAAGGAAGCTTGGAAGTCTTCTAATCCAACACCCCCTGCTCAAGCGGGAGACCCTGTGCCATTCCATGTAAATGGCTCTCCAATCTCTTCTTGAAAACCTCCAGTGATGGGACACTCACAACTTCTGAAGGGGAAACGTTCTGCTGATTAATTGTTCTGTCTTAGTTCTAGATTGGTTCTCTTCTAGATTAGTTCCCATCCATTGCTTCGTGTCCTACCTGCTTCGTGTCCTACACTGGAAAATAGGTCGCCCCCCCCTCATCTTTGTGGCAGCACCTCAAATATTGGAACGCTGCTATCCTGTGTCGCCTAGTCCTTAACAGATATTAACAGAGCTGGAAGAGACCTTGGAGGTCTTCTAGTCCAACTTCCTACACAAGGAGGAGAGCCTACACCATATTCCAGACAAATGTCTTTCCAATCTCTTCTAAAAAGTCTCCAGTGTTGGAGCAACCACAATTTCTGGAGGCAAGTAGTTCCACTGGTTAATTCTTCTCACTGTCTGGAAATTTCTCCTTAGTTGTAGGTTGCTTCTCTCCTTGCTTAGTTTCCATCCATTCCTTCTTGTCCTACCTTCAGGTGCTCTGGAACATAGGTTAGTCCCTTCATCTTTGTGGCAGCCCCTCAAATATTGGAAGACTGCTTATCAAGTCTCCCCTAGTCCTTAACAGAATATCAGAATAACTATGACTATCATTAAGTGTTAAGTACCTTATGATTTGTGAGAAATGTATTTTTTCTTTTATGTACACTGACAGCATAGGCACCAAAGACAAATTCCTTGCCACACTTGGCCAATAAAGAATTCTATTCTATTAGAAACAGTTTTTCCCCAAATGCCATCACTCGGCTAAACAACAAATTCCCACAACACTGTCAAATAATTTACTAAGATGTATTATTATTATTCTTCCCATCCTTCCGAGTACCTATCTCTTCCCACTTAGGATAATAATCATGTTGCTTGTATCTTTCAATTTATATTGCTTTTATGTGTTTCCTAGTATGATTTGATGGCTTATTAGTAACCTTGACTATCACTGTGTTACATCTTTTATTCTTGATGAATGTATTTTTATTCTCCTTATGTATACGGAGAGCTTATGCACCAAAGACAAATTCCTTCTGTGTCCAATTACACTTGGCCAATAAAGAATTCTATTCTATTCTATTCTATTCTATTCTACTCTACTCTAAGTTGGAAGGGACATTCTCACTGCTTGGGAAGTGGTTTTCTAGTTCAACCCCCCATATAGCATTTAAGACAAATGGTTGTCCAATCTCTGCTTAAAAACCTCCAACGTTGGAGCACCACAATTTCTGGTGGCATGCTGTTCCACTGGCTCACTGTCCTCACTGTTAGGAACTTTCTCCTTAGTTCTAGGTTGCTTCTCTCCTTGATCAGTTTCCATCCGTTGCTCTTTG